TGCCTCATTTTCCCTTAATCATCAAGCTTATCTAGTGGGCATCACCTCCTTAATCATCAAGCCACAAACATTTTCACAGGTTGTCAAGAGTGAAAAATGGAGGTAAGCAATGAGAAAGGAGATCACTGCACTTGAGCAAAATGGATCTTGGACACTTGAGTCATTACCTCCAGGCAAGCGAGCTATGAATTTCAAAAGGGTTTACAAGATTAAGTGCAAGCAAGATGGGACAATAAAACGTTATAAGGCAAGGCTTGTGGCAAAGGATTTCACACAAATAGAGGGGCTGGACTATCACAAAACTTTTGCCCATGTGGCTAAGCTTGTTACAGTTCGAGTTTTGCTTCTTGTTGCGTCCATGATCATGACTTTGAAAAAGGAAGGAAAAGGAATGGAGACTGCGCTGTTGAGTTGAGAGGGGTAGTTTTAGGAAAAGAAAAAATTGTTTCTAGAATCATGGGCAAAAGATTCACTCCATAATTTTAAGTGTGGCAATAACCCCACCAGTTTGTCTGCCTCACGATCCTGCTACAAGCCTACTTGGTTAGTCCTCCACAATTTAAAACTAGATTAAAAACAGTATGTTCACAGCATATAGCTTACATATACCACTCCCCATCAGAGTAATTACTGGTTCTAATCTCTGCAACTATATCAAGTTACATCATATCACGAATGTTTTAGGAACGTTTATAAATATTTCAAACCTGAACTGTTGGACTCTTACTATTAAAAATAATAAGGATGCATCCTCTGTTAATAGAGCAAGGGAGGCATTTAAATTTATTACAAATGTCTATCTTTATAATACAGTCATCTGTTCAAGTAAACCTTTGAATACCAGTACAATTTTACAATAAATACATTAAACGAAATATAATAAAGAAAAACAAGAGCACAGAATATCACAAACAGCGATCCTCTCCTCATTTTGAACCACCATCTCCTATTGAACCACCATCTCCTTTTGGAACCTTTGAATACCAGTACAATTTTACAATAAATGCATTAAACGAAATATAATAAGGAACAACAAGAGCACAGAATATCCAATCAGCGATCCTCTCCTCATTTTGAACCACCATCTCCTATTGAAACCTGAGCATACATTCTTTCCGTATTTCCAGTATCTTCTCCTATTAAAGATGGATCGGCGAAAAGTTGAGCCATAAATCTCAACAAAAAGAGGATATTGCAGCAATAAAAACAAAGTGACAGGAATAGCGGCGCCAAGAAATATTATTATTGAAGTGGCGGCTATCCCTATTTTCTTCATTTCCTCTTGTAGCATCATGTAAAGAGTAGCACAAAATGCTACCATCATTGCTGCAATAGAGATGAAGAGCAAAGAAAGGCCACAGATCAACTTAATGGGTAACGATATATGGAAATCTTGACAAGCATAACGAGAAGTGAGAATCCCCATAAACATTAGCACTGAGCTGGATGCAGCGAAAAGAGAAATTGCATCTGATACTAAAAATAACGTGCATGCTCTTTCAAAAACCAAGTCAAAAATCGATTCTAGATCATGGGATTTCTTTAAAAATTTGGGGACGCCTGTTTCCTCATCGTATCCACCAGGAATAGTAAAAGCCGCAGCAAACATAATTGTGATAATGAGAGCACCTACGACGTTACAAGATTGTGCCATTTTTTTCATCCATCCCTCGGCTTCTTTTACCAAATTCTTGTGTTCTTTATGAAATACTTGGGTAGGAGTGTCACCATCTTTATTTTTCTGTTTGTTGAGCTGTGGAACAATGCTTTCCAGTGACTGCATTTGTTTCGTAAGTTACAGATGGTAATTGAGACACTATTAGTTAATTTGAGGTAACAAACTTACTTAAAAATGAGATTACCTTGAACCAGCGTAGTTCATTTTGCAACTGCAAAGCTGCACCGGAGATGTGGTCTAGTTGAGAATGAGGAGCTAATCGTGCAGCTATATGTAATATATTGTTCTGATCTTCATCGGTGGCAGTAACCATATTTGTATCCTTCCTTTCACCAAATGCATCATAAAGAAATCGTGCGACTTTCTCTTGACGATGTGCTACAGCATGTGCAAACATGTTTCTTGAATCTTCGGGATCTTGATTGCTCCATAATATACTACCATTAGGTCTTTTTAATAATTCAATTACAATCTCAGGGATGTCATTCTCGATGGCCCGATAGGTTGCTTCCACTGCTCCACTTTGCACAAATTGGTTCTCATCTAAATTTGATAATGACTCACATATGAAACGAATAACCTCATGGGCATACTCGTCCATCAACTTCAACTCATATTTTTGAAATACTGACAAAACCAAAAAAAAAAAAGAAAAAGGAAAAGAAACCTTATGTTTGCTTTATTTCTACGAAGAATAATCAAGATATAGCACAAAAATGAAGGGAAAAAAATTTAGAGAGAGAAATAAATGTTCATTGTGCACGTTGTTGCTTACCAAAGATCAGCAGAGGCATTGAAAACAGTAAAAACAGCGGAAAGAAGCTAACTGTAATAAGACCAAAAAAAAAAATGAGTACTGCAATTATATTCGAAATTTAGAAAAATGAGTTCCCTAATTGCAATAATTTACTGCCCAAAAATATTACCTTTAA